ACTCCAAAAACTTGGCCGCAATGGATTTTTTCAATCCGGCATCTTCGGCCTTGTATTTCTTTTCTAACGCCTCCCATAATTCCTTAGAGGTCCCTATGGTGCTATAGACATTGTACAAAATATCATCTAGACCATTTAGAATATAATTCTTGCAAAGGAAGTCAGAATGTTTCCAAGCTTCAACTGCAAGAAATCTATCTTTCTCTGGCACTTCCTCGTTAGGATTTGGGATCTCTTCTTTGATGAACTTTTGAAGTCCCAAAGTAGTGAGATAGAAATACATCTTTTGTTGCCAACGCTTGAAATCTACACCGGAAAACTTGCCGGGTTTCTCCGCCGGTGCAAGCGAGTGAGTAGCAACTTGAAGTGGAGTACTTTGAGTTGATGTTACCGGATTTGGGTTCTCTCCATTTATTCCAGAACCAGAAGACATCTTTGTTCTTCACTATTTCCTTTCTCTAGAAATAGAAACCACAACACGTATTAGCAATCACTAATACCTACGAGTACAACCCACGCAGGGTTTAGTCTCGTACAAATCACACAACTTTCAAATTGCACAGAATATATTAAGAAGAAAGAATCCACAATATATATATAGTGGCCGAAATATTTAGAATCAGTATATAAACAAGAGCATATATATATACCTGAACCAAAAAGTTCAATGAAGTATGGCGATGATTAACAAACAATTTGATTAATTAAGTACAGAACCGAGACTCGGATACAAACATATATTCACAGAGACATACATGCAATTGATTAATTAATCATGCTTGCACAATTTATTGACCCAGAACAACCGAACCTATAATAAACAGAGACTAGCAAACATACAAATCTACCATTTGAATAACTAAATCATTATTCAAATCACGCTTTTTTCCCGTTAAACTTACATGCAGACACAGAGAAAAAAAATATATAAACAGAACCAAGTCGTTTATATAATCCGTACGTACAAAACCAGAACATATATATACCCTATTTATATATACACACGGAAATCAGAACAGTTCCCTACCAACAACAGTTATATGCGAAACATGCATACATGAACCGATCGACCGGAATTTCTTTCTACTGACAGCTGAGAGAAAAATATGCATGCAATGAAACTAATTTCGCAGAATATCAACACTTAATCGGCAGATTGGATCAAACAACAGATTCGTATAAGTCAACTTTGGGAAGAAACACTACACGTGAATGAAAACAAAAGTAAATTCCTTAAGATTGTTATGGACACAAAAAGTATGTTTCTTGCCACACAAGTCATATATAGAAATCGACACATGCATAAACAACGCCCGAGCCAATAGAATTCACTATTTCTCCTTAAGGAATTTAGTTCCCCTCTACGGTACCCAAGGTTATTGGAACTATTCCTCCCAGGATAGAACTGACGTACCTTTTCTGGCTGTACCGGTACTTGAAACACCAGAATCCGACGAACGCAACGATCGGAGAGAAGTCACACGACTCTGTTTTTCCTTTATGAGTTTGTAGAGAGGAAATGCAATGAAGAAAGAAAAATTCTTTATCTTTTGGCCAGAAAAAATTTCTTGGGAAAAATCTTGTGTAGAAAACAGAGGGGGGTAGGTGTTTATTTATAGACAATGAAGGGGTGCGAGTGAAGGGATGTGACCCTTCAAGTGGGTGGTTACACCCCAACCATTGCAATGGTTCAGTGAAGGGATGTGACCCTTCAAGTGGATGGTTACACCCCAACCATTGCATCGGTTCGCCATAGTAGTTGGACCGGTTGGTTCATTCCAACCGCCACATCGGTTCGGTCCGATTCAGTTCAACTTGGTTTAACCAATAACTCACCAACTATTGGCTTCTTCCCCTTTCATTCTCATTCACACCTTTCAAATCCAAACACAATTTTCATAAAAGGTTCAAGTGCTTTCATCAGCTCTCCACTTCAACTACAAGAATCTGAAAAATCAGATGAAGAAGAAGCCATGCTGGTACTGCTATTGTACATATCTATAGCTGCCGCCATGCCTGTTTTACAAAGATTAAACAAAAAACAGAGATGAAATGGAAACAGGGGCAGCGAAGATGAAAATAAAGATTAAACCCAACTACAGAGGGAACCAAAAAAATCGACCCTTTTAGTTGAAAACAAGAGTAAAATCAAAGTTGGGGTTCTGTAGATGTATCGAGGAGGGAAGATATGTCTGCTCGTCCTTCAATCGAAGCTTCAATCGACCCGAATCGTACCAGCTCGTCGTCGTTCAACTTCCACCAGATCTGCTCATCCTTGTCATGACTGCAGAATAAGCAAGCGCTCATTGATGAGCGCAGCAGCAAGGAGGAGGAGAGGGAATAACCCCTTTTCCCATCTCATAAGGAGCTGCTCTGTTTAATTCAATCTCCAGCTCCAGAGGCCCTCAAGACTAGGGATGGCAATGGGTCGGGTTGGGTCGGGTTTTGCCAAACCCAAACCCAAACCCATGGGTTTATCTTTGAAAAAACCCGGGGTAAAACCCACTGGGTTTGAAAAACTCAAACCCAACCCAACCCGTTGGGTATCCGCGGGTTCATGGGTACCCACGGGTTTTGTCGTAAAAAATTTACAATTACAAGTTCTTATCAAAATTAAAGTCAAATATCAATCTCTCAATACAAATTATCCATATATAAAACACCATTCTAGAAAATTCAAGCAAATCACAAATTAACTATACAAATTGTTCAACACCAATCTAGAAAACTCAAGAAAATTGAAGCAAATCACAAATTATCTATAAATAACATGTTTAATTGAAAGCTTTTTCCTTTCAATTAAGTTTCTTTACTCTCCACTCCATAACATCAACTTCATTCTACACAATTAAAAAGAAAAAATTAGACATGTCTCCACAAATATAAATAAGATTAGTTATCTATAATATTAAATATACCGAAAAAATTAATTATATGGGTAGGCGGGTACCCACGGGCCGGGTTTACCTAAACCCAAACCCAACCCAACCCGGTGAATAGTGAACGGGTTTAAACCCAAACCCGGCCCAAAATCCGTCAACACGGATTTTACCCGCGTTGACCGGGTTGGGTCGGGTGGGTACCCGTGGGTTCGGGTTTTATTGCCATCCCTACTCAAGACCGAACAATAAGGAAACCAAAACAAGAGCATCAGTAGGGAACAAATCGATGGTGGATTGAGAGATTTGTATATAATTTTGATAATTATAATGATTTTTTACTATTTACTTATTTTAATTTATTTTTATAGTGAGGTGAAATTGAAAAATATTTATTTATTATTTTTTAAATTTCCACGTCACTCATTTAACAGTCAACTATCATAGTTGACTGCCACATCAGCCAAAGTTAACGGAGACTAACGGATAATGACCAAACTTGAACTATTGAACTAATTTAAGTGACTACAGATGAAATAAAGTAATTCTAGTGGCTAACGTGAATTTTACCAGTAATTCAAGTGACCAAACTTGCAATTTAGCCCATAAAAATACCGAATTGCTATTAGTAACCCTAAAATTAAAAAAAAATCACCCTAAACTACACTAAATTGACACATATACCCCTGACTTCAAACCTAACCTACAATCTATCCCCAACCCCAAACCCGACTCTCAAAATCTCGCAAAAAATTTGTCGTCCACCCATTCTTACTCTCCGCGGCCGCCAGGGTCACTCCCCGCCGCCGCTGCTATTCGTCGTTGCTGTCGACCAGGAGGAGTTCGTCTAGGGTTAGGTTGACATTGTCGAGAAGCTTGCCGTCGTGGATCAAGTGGTAGTCTGTTCGTCGGGCGCGTCCGAGATTGAAATTGTTCCTCCGCGGGATTGGATTGCGGATATGAGTACGGCGATGGTGTCTGACGACGTGGAGGGTGAAATTAGGATTTGTTGCGATTGTAGGTTTACAAATATTTGCATCTCTTCCTGTCTTTTTAGGGGGAATGGATCAGGTCAGTAACCTTATGGTGAATAACTATGAGTAATCCGCCCACATCAGCATGACATCAGCATCCTCTCTCTCCTGGAAAGCCTTTAATTTTTCCCTTCTTAATCTTTGACGGACGATTTCTCACTCGTTTTAAGTCGAAATTTAATTTTTTTTGCACAGTTAGATCAATTAATTATGCTCTTCAAAATGATATCCACTTTGATATAGTTTTAGTACAAAAAAATTGAGCCATTTTATACCAGTCTATACCATATGGTATTGACTGGTATTGAAATAAGAGCATACCTATGGTTTGAAAAGCGTACCATGGTGGTATGACACAAACCAATACTGTAGGATGGTTGAATAAATTATAGTAGAAATTAATTGTCATTTACGACTTTTAACATTGTATACCATAAGATACCATAAGATACCACCCCGTACCAGGGTGGTATTGTATGGTATTGTGTGGTATTTTTTTGTCTTGTAATTTGTTCACCCTGATATTTGTAGATCCAATAGATCATGATGAACTCGTCACTGCTGTGCAAACGTTTTCAAAAACGAATTAAAAACGAAGAAGATACCATATGGTATGCAGTTGGTACCGAGAGGCCAGAATTTTTTTAAAAAAAATTGAAAATTGATCTCATTTTGTAGAGCACGATGAACTCGTTCCATCTGTGCAAAAAAAAATTAAAATCCGAGTTAAAACGAAAAAGATATGAGTCAATTAAGAAAGCTAGTGAAAATAAAAATGACCTTTAATTCTCCATCCTTAGATCTGGATTTTCTAAATGAAGGGTCCAGATTTGGTTATTGATGGGTGCATAACCCATAGTTATGCACCCTAACTTGAGCATTTTTAGGTATTCCGAGTAGCAGAGTGATGGAACGAAAGATGTGTGGTGGCCGTGGCCTGGAAACTTTAAATCCTTGATCTCTATGGAGAATTTGATCTTTGCAGTGAGAAAATAAATGCTAGGAATATATTATATACAAAAATTAATTAAACACATTAATTATTTTAAGAGATATTAAAAATAAATTAAGGGTATTAGAGTAAATTTAACCAAATTAGAGCCACAAATAAGGATTTTTAGGACGACGAATAGCAATCCAAAAAATATAAATGAGTGCTTGCTCAGGCCCTTCTCTTCATATTCAGATGAACAAGCAATGGGAGTCGGGAAATCATGAAGGATCGTTATTATGTGTAAATAACAATTGGGCTTCTAACACTATGTACCCCGTCGCTCCAAATTAGTGACGCAGAGGCTAAAAAGTAAAAACCCATTCGTCGGAGCTTTACCTCCCGATACAGTCACGGTGATAGACTTCTTCTCGTTCAAGGCCCCAAAAAGAAAGAACCGGCAGCGTCACTTCAATCTTTAGTCTACCCATGGTCGGTACAATTTGGGATGTGTATGTCGACTTCGTTGTTCCCACGTTCGTCACCGTTCTAAGAAATGCAATTTTGAAAGCAACCCTCATACCCGAAAGGCCGAAACAACAGAGGTTATGGAAGGGTAGTTGAAGTCTTTTATAGCAGACGGGTCAGCTCGAGCGAGGCAACTGCTGTTTTTGTCACCGGTGACAGTTCTGAGTCTGTCGGTATCATAGCCCAAGTTGCAGAGCAAGTTGACGTCATCCTGTGCTGAAGTTTCATAGACAAGTCCTGGATTTATGGCTTTCATAGGATTCAGCTGCCCCGATCCATAAGCGAATTCTGTAGATACAAATGTAAGGCTTGGATCCTGAACATTCCCCGGATTCATTGGTGTCGCTGTAGAGAAAAGAATGATCAGGTTTGCATTCTCCCCTGTTTGAAAATCAGGGGTGGAACAGAGTGCAGTTCAAATACTTACCAGTGGTGAGGATGGCGGATTTGAGGGCAGAAGGAGACCAATCGGGGTGCAGGGTTTTGAGGTAGGCAACTATGCCGGTGACATGTGGGCAGGACATAGAAGTTCCAGATAACACATTGAAACTGTATCGTCTTTTATCATCAGGGTCATCAGTTATTGATGCTACCGGAGAAAGAAAACCCAGCCAAGATATCCACCCCAGGAGCACTCACATCCGGCTGGGAAAACATGAATCCAATGATCATAATTCATAAACATAAAAGTGACTCTGTGATCTTGTAATTGAAACGTTGAATCATGATGTCTACATACATGAGTTATGTTCATACCTTGAGAATGCCAGAGATGATCGAATTCGGACCTCTGGAGGAGAAGGAAGCCACCAATGGCGCTCCGGGATCTCTCACGATGTCACATTTCAGTACCTCGGCCACAGGATTTCTATGGGAAACCAACCATATAGAAGTTAGTTTAATCCAATTGTGGCATCATAATGAATCATAACTAGCTCTCTGCAAGCATGTTTATGTATTGATGGATACTTAGTAGAGTTGTGATATGAGATAATGGCGTCAAGGCTTTGGAAATCCACCCCGGAGGCAGGCAAGGCGACAACAGAGGCAGCATCAGGACTATTGTAAGGGTAGATAACTCCCTTAGCGCCAGCTTCAAAAGCCACCTTCTTGCCGTCGCTGGAATCGCATATCACAATTTTGTTCTTCACTACACTGCTGTCCAGACAACCAGGATCGCAAGCTCTAGTAACAGGAACGAATAAAGTAATTTAGACAATACAGAGTAGCAAGCTAGCCAGAGAAAATGGAGATGGAGGCGTCTGAGGGTTCACCCACCCTGCGCAGCCAAGTGATGCATCTCCATGTATCAACGGCGACTCCACTCCATTCTCCGCGAATGCATTCACTGAAACCCCCTGTACACGACGTTCCCCCAAATCCAAATGGCGAATTAGGGCAAATACATGACAAAATTGAGCTTCAATTTGATTCTAAAAATTCCATACTGTGACTATATTCCCGTTGCCGAGAACAACTTTGGACTCGAATTTCCGGTCGATGGTGCTGGCGGCGACAGAGAGCAACCACGGAGCCACACTGCACGTGGTGGCAGATTGCGGGCCGCTGTTCCCGGCGGAATGCACGGTGAGGATTCCTCCGCGTGTGGCGTGAAAATCACCGATTGCGATGGTGTCGGCATCTATATCAACGGCCTCGAGTGTCCTGATCGATACGGAGATAACGTCGACGCCGTCGGCTATGGCATCGTCAAAAGCGGCAAGAATGTCCGCCGACGAACAGCCGAGGTCGTCGCACACCTGGTAGACGGCGATTCGAGCCTTCTTTGCCTTGTTTTAAGTGACCTATGGAAATATGCGGAGTTGGAGTCACCCTTTTTAAGCCAGAGCTCTCTAGACTTCATCCTAAGAAATGATTCCTCTGCCTGAGATAGAATCTGAAACTCTTTGGACACCTCTGATTCTTTTGCAAAAGTCTCACTGGTAGGATTAGATAGAGCTATACCCTGTATTTCCTCAAGCTCCACTTCTTTTTTCTTAACCCTATCTCTGAGAACTCCTCTCTGTTCAACTCCCTTAACAATTTCTTCAAGATTCTCAGTTTCTTATAAACTCTGATCATTGGAGGACCAGATACCCTAGTGTCCCACGCTTCTTTTAGTAGAGAATCAAACCTTGGATGATTTACCCAGAACCTAAAAAATTTGAAAGGTTTTGGCAATGATTTCCGAGCAGCCTCTGTATCAACCAGACTAGGACAATGGTCAGATATCCCAACTCATGTACCATTTTTATGGAATTTTAAATTTTAATTTTATGTGAAATGGGTTTTTCCTTCAATCAAAGCATAAAAAGAAAAATGCAACAGCTAATCAAATTGTTAGGCAATGTAAATTGAGAACAGGTTATAAGAGTTAAAGTCTTAACAAGTAGAATGAATATTTACTTGTTACAAGTGAAATTGGATCCGCCTTTGCATACACCCTTCCATTTGGCCGGCGGAGGACCAAAACCACGGTCGTCAAAACTTGGCAATTCCAGCCAAATTCCACTATCTATAACTCCAACCACGACATCACTACCAACATCTGATGGGTTCTTCATCGTCGTGGGTTGAGGGAAGCCCAAAAAATCCCACGATCTCGTAGTCTGAAGCTGCAACTTCTTGCTCGGGAAAACAGAGACGACGTTTTTTCTGCCTGCAAAACAAAATCAGATAAATGAATTTGTGCAAAATTCCCGTCAATGAATCTTATTATGATAAAGTCATTCGTGCATGAAAGAAGACAAATTGATTAAGGCACATACTGGAAATCATTCGTGCCTCATCATCGGTTAGCTTTGCCGCAAATCCGTTGAAACTCCTTTTGTAACTCCTGATCAATAATTCCACCGACTCTAATTGGCTGGACGAATAAAATTATGATAACCCATTATTAGAATTTTCAATTTGATGGATGAAAAATTGATTACCAATATCATTAGTAAAATAATGTACTGTTACGTACGAGATTTTATTCTGCAACTATATCATGTAATTGATATCTATACGAGTATTAAATAAAATTTTGCTAACTATGATGATGATTAGAGATATTGGAAAAATATCGACCTGTCATCGACCTGACAGTACTTCTGACAAGTACTAGGCGTCCAATGGGGAACCATGGACAATTCGTACTTCCTTGTCATTTAGAGATCTTTATCTCTATGTGCCTCCCCTACCTGCCCAACTCGACTCCCTGAGCCCGACCTACCTATATGGGCTTGCGTATGGGCTTTCCCCTTAGTGATATTTTACCTTGTTGGGTTATTGGGCTTTCTTTTGGATTTTCATTTGTAATACCCCCAACAATTGCCCCCCAATTAGGCACTCAACGATTGGTATCTTGAGTGCCTAACTACTTCTCACGGCGGTGCGCCTGATCCGCGCCAAGTCATCCTGACTCTGCCCCTTTATGGAAGGCATCCATCATCGCGAATTGCACATTCCATTTTATCTTGCTTCCCTTTTATGGAAGGCGCCCATCAATTGTCACATTTACCCGACTCGAATTATTGTCAAATATGGTCCATGATGGGAGCCCGTTCAAAGCCCCGCACTCTCATAACTTCCTCACTAACATATTGGGCGCCTGATAACTGTTCCAAGCCTAGTCTGACGCTTGGAAGTCTACTTATGATTCCCTCTTGCCCCTTTTTTTTATCCCTCCTCTCAGAATTCGGGCGCCAAAAAATGAAGATGACTGCAATTGATAGATTGATGAAGATGAGAAATTGACATATCTTTGGCGCCGCTCCCCTCTACTGGTGGCTCATTAATTTCACGGCATCGCACAACGGGATTCGATGCTTGCGCGCCTCTAAACATGGGTACATAACACTGGGAAACAATGTTGGTTTACAACAATGATATCACTTTGAGTTTGTGTGATTCCGCTTTTCTTTTATGATCAACCTCTGCACCACCACTTACTCAACGTCGCCGCCCAATTCATCTTTCCTCCTCTTGCAAAGAATTGGGCGCCCAAGGTCGCCATTGATATACCACACTCTCTTCGCTTTCTTTTGGTTCCGTCTTGCATTTTGTCTTCCTCCCCTTTCATTCTACAACAAACATCAGGCACAAAGCGCCTGATAAATGCCCCCACACACTTTTATAAATGCACGCCCAAGATACTTGTGACAGGCGCCAAGATTCTTCATGAGACGCATCCCCATTGCCCCATAACGGCCAGATTTTTGAATTTCAAACGTCTGGCCGTGATCGTGCCACATGGCGAGAGGCATGGTTCCTGATGTGTTTTCGCCCTCTCTCCTGTAAATAATCCCTTCTTCTCCCTACCTATTCTTCATTCTTCCAAAAACCCCTCTATCTACTCTATCTCTAAGCACCCACTGTCGTGCGTCCTTTGTCGCCCCCTGCTCAATTTTTCCGACGCTGTTTTAAAGCATGGCTTCTCCCCCTCCAAGCACCGCCGCCACAAAGGATTAGGGCGCCTCCTCTACGTAAAATCAAGGCCCACCCTCTAACCCTGGTAAGTGGTAAGCACCCACGTTCACGCTTAATTTAGATTTTCGAATATATACGCTTTGATGTAAGGTCGCCTCTTACTTTGCCTTGCGGTTATGGGCACCTACTTCGATTTTGTGCTCTAGAGAGAACACCGCAACCTTCGTCGATGTCGTCGTCGTCTTTGAATTGGTACGTGCCCGAAGATGGATCGTATAAGATTACTTCATGGGAGAACACCTAGCCACTGGATTATGCGCCCACTGACACCTCCGAAATACCCGCCAATGTATCCGGGCCTGAACAATAATCAACAGTGTCGACGGTGTGGATGGAGAAATTTAAAATCATTCTGCAGCTGCTTCGGACTTGGTGGTATGCGCCCACCTCCTCTATCGCGAGGATCGGGTTGTGCAGGCCAAAATGACTTGGGATCTATCAAGAATATTTTTACTTCAAATTGCGATTTCCGATAGATCCCATTCTGGAAGGTGTGTTGGCTTCTTGTGGTTTCACCATAGGGAGCCTGTCTCCTTCAGTTATTTTGGTTATCTTGTGGTTTCACGATAGGGCGCCTGTCTCCTTCAGTTATTTTGGTTATCATTTTGTTCAAGTTGAAGTGTAGCACGTACAATGTGAATCGAACGTTCAACCTATTTTGACACTTTTTTTATCATGGTCCCTCTTGATAACTACTTGTCTCTGCAAAAGCGGAAGCGGATTACGAACTTCGTGACAAAATGCCGCAAGCTAGGGAGGAGCTGGTTCTGAGGGTTTTTCTACATGAAAGCACGCCGTGAATTTTTCTTCGAAAGTGGGGGCGAGTTTGAAACTGGATGGGAGCCCGGTGATGAGGCGGGCTTCAACATCATGGTTCCCTTGTCTCCGGACGAGAAAGCAGGCGCCCAGCTTATAAGCGCCCGACTAGTTAACCTTGGCCCCACTTCTGCTCACTCCCATTCTTCATGCTTATTAATTATAATGATGGTGTGTAGGGTGTCTATGAAGTGTTTTGGTTAACATATGCATTTATGTTACCCTTTTGATAAATTATTTTGCTTATGTGCAATAACGGAATTTTCCAAAATCGTGACGCTGATGAAAAGTCACTTCTCGAAGATGTCTGCCAGGGCGCCCACCTCCAATGTTGGTGTCTCAATTCCGAAGGAGTCCTCTACTTCAACCTCAAAGGCAAAGAAACCAACTTGAAAACCAACGGTTGGAGGCAAGCAAGGGAAAACGCCCACTAACTGCACAAAGACTGCCAGTGTGCCGTCTTCAGCCACATACACTTGTTAGCCAGATCCAACCATCGAGGTCACAATTCTTGACGAAAGAGTAGACGAAATTCTGTTGGCGGATCCGGTGAAGAGAGCAGGCGCCCCACAGAGTTGGCCGTGCGAGATGAGTTGCTGGCATCGGAGAAGGAGGCGCTTGAGAAGGAGATGAGTTGTCGGCCTTGTTGCTTCGCCATGAGGATTGTAAGATGGATCTGAAGGCATCTCGGAAGTAAATCAAGACCCTTAAGGCGTCATTGGAGCATTACGAGAGTTCAGAGAATGGGCATGCTTTGTTTGCAAAGGCGTCCGTTACCAACATTAGCACTCTCAAGAAAAAGCTCGATCTAGATCACCCCGAGCTGACTTGGGACCTCTCTGACATGGTTAAATTTGTCATTGGGTACATGCTTGAGGAAAACCCGGGCAACCTGGATGAGCAGGCGTCCACCACTGGAGACAAGAAGACACCCAGTCCTAGAGAGATGGAGGCGCCTAGTGCTGGGGACGCCATCTTCGGTGCCGACTGACTGGTTATGGAACTTTCCTTGTGTTGCTTTTTCATTGTTCTTTTCAAGTTTTCCCGTCCGAACTATTGGTTGGCAATGCGAATGTGCGAACAATTTTTACTATCTTGAAATTATTTCTTTCCCTTCGAGGTGTCTTGGTCTATGGGTATTGCAAGATCTAGGTGCCTTGATCATGAAAATTAGTGTTTCAACCATCCCATTCAAAGGGCGCCTTGATAATGTAATGGAGTACCTTGTCGTTGTTGGGCGCTTAGGAGTGTAGGGCGCTTTAAACTGACATCATCTGGGCGCTAAACAAATGTGGGCGACTTTTTGGAGCAAAAACAGAGTTTTAGAGAGAGAAAGTGCGAAGAACAAACCCTAGGAGCTATTTGGTGTGGATTTCTCACCATTGAAGCCCAAATTGCATCCCCAGGAGTGAAGATCATCATCCCGGAGCAGATTATCCTCATCGTTATGAGTATGACTACTCTGATTTCTGTTTTCCTCTCTCTCTCTATGGAGTAGAACCTTCTCTCACTTGGGTATGAAGAACCCTAGTTCCATGTGTTATGTGGATCTTGATTGTAATGACTTGAGATTGTTATACTGATTGGTTATAATCGGTTGATGCATGATTCATTGAGTCAATTGAAGTCTGATCATCTTTTCTTGATTTCTGCTGCAACCTGAGATAGATAGAAATTGATTAGGTTGTTAGAGCTTCATAAATCGGTAGTGGTAGATTGGTTATACGAGAGTTAATCGATTTACTGCTTTGTGCCGGAACCCAATTCCAGTAGTGGAGTTCTATGCTTATTGCCTCACCAGTATATCCCGATGAAGGTTAGTCGCCTGCCGGTTAGCCTGCCTGAGAGGGCTTGGTCAGCTTAAGAGATTCCAAGCTACTGTCGGATCTTCCACAGTTTAATCAACAGTTAATCAACCCAGGGTAATTAAAACCTCGACCTAACTGTGGAGCTAGGGGGACTCATTCCCGAGTGACTCTCCCCTTGCTAAAGAACTTCGAACCATTTCCTGCTGCTTTTGCTTAAAAATCACAATCACTCAACTTAGTTTGCTAGATAATAGATAATCACGGAGTAGGCAGTAGATTTAGACCCCGGGTTGACAAATAGAGCTTGCCACTTTACTGCATTTCCGGACTGCGATTACACTTGATTGCAGTTTGGTGTTGTGTTTTAGCGTGTCAAGTTTTTGGCGTCGTTGTCGGGGACCTTCTAGGTTATTGTAGAAACGTGAAAGTTTGTTACTCTAGCTTTTTATTTTCTGCATTCTCTCTCTTCCACCTTTGTGCCTTCACGGGTTGTGTTTGCATTCTCTGTGCAGGTAGTGCATGACCCGTAGCCAGTCGGGAGATTTACTACCATTAGACCAAGAGCTTGAACGGACTTGTAGGAACTTCAAGCGGGCTTTAAAGGCGTGACTGGCTGCGGAGGAGGCTCTAGCACAGACCATGGGATATTACTGGACCGCCAGAGCCGTGGACATGAGGTCGCCCATTCAGCACCCTCATGTTCCAGCAAATAACTTTGAGGTGAGCACCTCTGTCATCACCATGCTGCGCGATTCGGTGGTATTCCATGGCAAGGAGGGGGAGTGCCCCCGATCACACCTGAGGCAATTCCACGAGCTCATCGATGGGATCAAGATCAATGGGGTTCAAGCCGTTGCTATCCAGCTGAGATACTTTCCATTTACTCTGGAGGGGCAAGCCAAGGAGTGGCTGGACACTCAAACTCCAGGCTTGATCACCACGTTTGCCAACCTGGTGGACAAGTTCCTCACCCGCTACCATCCTCCATCCAAGACGGCGGACCTGCAGAAGCAAATTACCCATTTTACTCAGGATGAAGATGAGACCATTTGGGATGCTTGGGAGAGATACACCAGTCTCTTCCTCAAGTGTCCCAACCATGGTTTTAAAAACGCCTTCAAGGTGGGGACCTTCTACCATGCCCTCTTCCCGGAAGACAAGCAGCTGATTGACTCGGTTTGTGGCGGGAATATGCTCACCAAGACACCGCCACAGCTGAATCAACTTTTTGAAGAGATGGCAGAGCATGGATATGACTGGGGAACGACAAGGAGGTCGAGACGAGCACCAGGACGGGATGTGCATGCTATAGCCAACCAGTCGTCTCATTTGGTGCAGGTGGTGTCGAAACTGGTTTCAGCCATCGATCGCTCTAGAATGATTTCAGGTACAGGACAGCAGCAGGCGATGCACTGCCAGTGGTGTGAAAGCTCCCATCACATTGTGGAGGACTGTCAGGCGATGAGGGAGTCGTCTACTCCCCAGGAGCAGGTGGACTTCATCGGCAATGCCAGGCGTTTCGACCCCTACATCAACACTTACAATGAGGGGTGGCGCCAGCATCCCAACTTCTCCTGGGTCGGGGAAAATTCTAGACCACCAGTCCCCCAGGGACCACCAGGCTTCCAGAGGCCTCTTTACCAGCCCAGACAAGGGCAATTTTAGCAGCCGCAACAACCTCTCTACTCGCCCAGACAGGGGCCAGTTCCACCTCAGTCACAGGTGCGGCCATTTCATCAGTCAGGGGCAGCCCCCACAACCCCAGTACAGAGTGATCCGATGGCGGAATTGCGAGATCTGGTGGGTTCTCTGGCCACCTCCAGTGCAAACAAGTTCAATAATTGGAGAAGGCTTCAGGTAA